GAGCAAACATTTGTGCTCGTATAGAATGCAAGAAAGTACATTTAGATTCTAGAATTTACACAATTTTCTAGTTATGCACGCAGCCAAACCACATCCAATCCCAGCACAATGCAACCCAAGCAATTCGCGCCCCTAGCTATCCTGTTGGCAATGGCTCTTTGAATGGAGAAATGTTATTTTCTGGACGTGGGATTGGACCGTTTCCATTATATTATCTGGGTACCGAAAATTGGGGATTAATTTGGAAATGAGAATTTATGGGAAATATGTGGAAACTGAAAACTCGAATCTTATTTAAATGTGAATTGGGAAATATTTTATCGGAGATACTGGGTATGGACTACTGATCTCTATATACTAACTTAGTATATATATAGTTACTACTATATAACTAGTATATAACTAGTTATTACTAATATAGATAGTTAGTATATAGAGATCAGTGGTATGGACACCCAAAAAAACCTCCGTAGGTGAGAGATATCCAAGAATTAACCATAGCGTCCACGAATTGCTCCATGCGCTTTTTTTTTATCAAAATACTTATAAGTTAGTACTGCTCGACGTGATGCGGCTATGATGCCGAGGCGCGCCGAGGATTGACACTTTGTGTCTTCCAATCACAGCCTACGCCTCACCAGTGTTTTATATTTTTAAATATGGGAACCCATTGGACCACCAAATCGCCGATCTCATGAACTAGGGCATTCTGCTATGCTAGACCGGTTTCCTACGATAGAGCTTGGCACAAATACGAAAATAACACGCTGTTTAGCGCACTGCGCTACGTCCTTCTGTTGCATTTTCGCACTTCCGTAATCAGATTAAGCCCCGCCTTCTTCGTTGATGGGCATGAATGGGGCGTCAACGACGTGACCCGAATTACTGCGTGTAGGTGTTTGGCGAGACTGTTTGATTTTCGTAGATAATGAAAGGCCCGGCCGATGCATTTCGCACCGAAGTAGAAAAATTCGGCATTTTTACCCGCTTTCGAAAGTGAACGAGTGCGTCATTCATTGAACATTGAAGTTTTTCTTAAAATTAAATAATTCCAAAAATCCCTAATCGTTTGTTTTAGCCAATGAACGTAGCTGTGTGTGTGACGTCTTGCCCGCGCGCTTTATGCTTGGCTTAGCGGGCCTCGAAATGGATATCGGAAGCACGCACCTCGCAACACGCGTGTTTGTTTACATATAGCTTTGTGACATCAGGATGGGCGGTGTCGGGAGTTCTGCGATGATAACCTCGTAATTTCTCAGCATTTCTTAAGGTGCATGGAACATTTTACTCATTTAGTGGTGTCAGTTAGTCACGGATATGTCACAGTAAGTACTAACCGTATATGTTTCACATACGTTCACCTATTTTGCACACAGGCAGTCGATTATTATGAAAAATTGTGTGAAGATTGATTTTTATTGAGACGTTCCAAGTGCCTGTGCTTTCATCAGTCTTGTACGTCAATGCACGTGCGTCAAGAGCCATAAACACAATTTCATCTCTGTTATTGTTTACGCCTAAATGCGTGATTGATCAGGGAGGGGGTGCATGTAAGAGGGAGACATTTTCTTTGGGGTTCCGAAAAACACAATTCCAATTGACAATTTCATGGGCCATTTCAATTGGAAGCTCTGCATAATGAACCCCCAACAAGCCCTTTGACGGACTAGTCAAGAAATTCAAAGGTCTGTATATTGCTCTTATTTAGCCGCCGATAGTTCTTATTTAGAACAAAGTCTTCATTAGTATCTTCTAAAACTACAGACCATCCGCTGACCGCTGTGGAGACGTGGGCCGGGCCTCGAATTTGGCGCACGTCTCCACTGCGGACAGCGCTTCATACTTGAACATCCCCGCGGTCGCGTGCGCATATCCCGCGGAACTGCGCGTCTCATCCACGCGCAGCGCTCAGGATCAACAGTAAAGCTGTGCCACGCAATCTTGTATTGTGTCTCTCTGGATTGTGGTTGGAACGGGTTTATTCACTATTTTTTAATCACTCTTCTTATGTCTGCAGTGCAAACTTTTGCCCTGCTTGCCGCAGCCGGCTGAAAGGGGTGGTAGGATATGTTTACTAGGCACTTCTAATTTTAACATATATTTTACGATATATTAAAGAATGATGCAAAAACCCTAAAAAGTGCCCTAACCCTAACCCTAACCCTAACCCTAACCCTAACCCTAACCCTAACCCTAACCCTGACCCTAATTAAAATTAAAATATATGTTAAAATTAGAAGTGCCTAGTAAACATATCCTACCACCCCTTTCAGCCGGCTGCGCTTTTGCCAACTAGTGTTAGATTGTGGCGCCGCCCAGTGGCAGATGTAGTTAATAATATATCATTTCTAATCATTGCTTATACAACACAACCTCGTCAGATATTTCCCCTTCTAACTACAGACAGTCATATTCTTGAGTTCTGTCAAATGAGGGCATATTTCTACTTATTCAATAAGCCAGCAAATTTTTTAACGCAAATTTATCAATACCAACTGCTACAAGAAGAGCAATTTATACGCAGTGATATATTTGGGAATGGCAAACAACCAAAGATTTATTGTTTACCTCATTAGACGCGAGGTGGCAGCACCATGTGCTTATATGATATTACCAGGAGTAAGATAATATATCATACTCCTGATATATCCTACCTATCCTACCTATCCTATCCTATCCTATCCTACCTATCCTACCTATATTATCTTACTCCTGATATTACTGGGAGTAAACTATCTCAAATCTTTAGAAATAGATGGTTCTAGGACAATTACCAACCTCGAACAATTAACCCTTATGTCATTTAACCCCCTGATAATAACCTCCGGACAATCACTCCCCGGACAATTACTCCACGGAAAATCCTCCCACCCCCTGGAAACTACCTCTCGGACAATTACCTCGGCAAAAACTTGCCGCTGCTGTGTTACCTCATTAACACGTTGTTAATTAACTCTTTCAAGTTAGCGCGAATTAACTATTGTTTATATCCGCGAATTAACTATTGTCTATATCCGCGGCATTACAACGAGAGTGTGTCTTTAGTGGGTTAATTGATGTGCAGTGGATAATTTTTCCGGGGGAGGGTAATTGACTGGGGGTGATTGTCTGTGGTGTAATTCTCCGGAGAAGGGTAAAGCCGTAAAGGGCATGGGGTAATTATTGGGGTGGCACTGCCCGGGAGGGAGGGGGTAATTGCCCGAGGGAGTGATCGTCCGGGAGATGATTGTCCGGCAGCGTATTGTGGGGGGGGGGGGAGGTATTTGTCCTAGAACCGAAATGGACATATACTATTATATTCTACTACTAGCTGGAGGTACCCGGCGTTGCTCAGGGAAACCAGATGAAGAAATTCTAACATACATATTGCGTTAATTGTAATGACAGAGTCGTAACAGAAAAGCAAAATGTGAAGGATCGAGTTAATTAACAATATTCTGACAAAAACAGTTGGAAAGTTCCTATTATTCTATGCCAAAGCTTCTGGATATACAACATTGGTGGTCGTTTCCTCTGGAGGAAGATGAAATGCGCAGTAATTTCAAATACTGAGTTTTCATGTATTATTTTGATGTATTGCGAATCCCAATGATAAGAGAGACATGTGACAGACGTCACCAGCTGTGCATTTAAAAGGCAAGACAAGGCTTGTGTTGTACTTCTATTTAGGTGTAAACCTCTGGTTCTCGTAGCAGCGTAGAGTTAGTAAACAGTAGAGATGATGCTTCGTAGAGTAGCGTGCTTAGTAGGAGGGTACCCGCATCCTCCACCAATTGTTGTACTTCTATTTGGGTGATAACCTCAGCTCCGGAATCGTAGAAGCGTAGAGTTAGAAAATGGTAGAGATGTTTCGTAGATAGCAAGGTAGAGTAGCAGCGTAGAGTCTCGTCAGATAGAGCCGTAGTCGCAGATTAGTTATTGAACTCTGTCTTTATTACTACTCCGTCGAACACAAAAATATATACATACTACGGCAACCAATGTACTCATGCCTAGGTCCCGCGTCTCGTCTTCCATTCTCTACATCTTATAAAGTAACTGTCCATGTAATAACTAATATCAAATTGTCTCTCCTCTGTATGTCAGTGTCTATTTGTTCTTAACCAGAATTGTTATTTACTTATGTTTGTCGGAATAATAGCCCATCAGGGCTAACGTTTATTGTTTGTGATATCTGATCTGATCTGATCAGATAAAGATTCTTGTATCTTGTATTTATACGCATTTTAAAACTGCCCGAACGCCCTACAATCCTATTAAACCAGTTTCTTCAATTTCCCGCTGGTTTTAGGTGTGGCTGCGAATATATATATATATATATATACGAGCCACGGAGTCTTATGTTATTACAATAATATCGAGGAACGTAATATGCCGCACGCCTCGTCGGGCTAGAAGCGCCCCTGGTTAATTAGCACGCAGCCCTACAATACAACACTTGCACAGCCAGAGAGAGATATTCATCATAACTTGGCGCAATTTCGTAACAATGTTGTATATAATAATACATAAACATAATTATATACATATGTTGGATATATCCAAAAGCTTTGACTGCATAGAATCACAGAATCTTTCGAACTGGTTTTGTCATTTACTCTTCATATTTTGTTACTCTGTTACGACTCTATCCTTAGAATAAGGTAAATACATGTGTCAGAATCTCCCTTACACGGTGTTCTTAAGCGGTTTTCCCGGGCAACGTCGGTTACCTAAGCTAGTAAAAAATTATCAGGGAGGAATGGGAAGAGACAGGGTACCTGTCTATTCAACTGCGCTGAATACGGATAAAAAACTATAATAAAAACTATAATATAATATAATATATTATATATAAAGCAAACTTGTTGTTTGTATGTAATTTGTTGCTGTTATAAAGTTAATTTATTATGAAGTAAACAGCAGAACATGTATGCACTCGTATTGCTACTGGCTGACAAATTGCTATGACCCCACGACTTTAATTGTCTGTTACAAAATCAATAAATAATCAACATTGCTTCTTAATATTAACAACATATTTATTGCATTAACTGGATAAAGTATCTTTTGACAATATTTACAACAATATAACACGTAACCTACATACCAAAATAACAGCTCCGCTTTGAATACGTCGAGATTCTTATGTATGAATTGTCACTGTGGTCAAGTTAGCCTACATGATACAAGACACGAATACGTAACTTAATCTGAGAGGAGGGTGCTAACAAGAAACCCGAGATCACGTGTTTTTTTCCACGAGCGTGCATTGGTCAATATCAGAGATCATTATTACATCACACGCCTTCTGGGAAATAGTTGATATCAAAAGGCGATTTCTAGTCTAATGACATTGCAATAGGATCCAGCGAGCGCCAGTCTATTGGATTCTATCGAAGATATGTGATGAACGGGTAATTATGCCGGGTACACCGTTTAACGCACTAGATTGACTAGATTTGGAGCACTCGATTTTTTCACACAGCTATCGGACTGTCATTGAACATTCCACTTCTTCATTCCACTTCTTCCGTGATTGTTGATAAACCGGCTGCAGACACGATGCTCTCCGATTTAAGAGCATATTGCGCTCTAAAGGCACTCAGGCTCTGAGCGGTGTACAGCAAACAATTACGACGACTAACTTGACACAACTTCACTCTCATAATAACAGTGACTTGGGCGAGGAATAAATCGTTCTGGTAGATGTAGTTATATAATATCGTAGAGAGACCCGCTCTCCACAGATTCACCATTATCTAAGACGTCATATCGTTATTAGAGCATAATGAGGCGACGCGTACCCCCAATACTACAAATCTTTCGGGCAGATGACACAGAAAATAAGTTCTGATTCTGTAGAATTAATTGAGCTTTCACGTCAACTATTGCCATGTAACAATTATATTACACCTAACCATTCCTATTGTATAACTAATAGGTAGTTTGTAGGCAATGTGACCCTATTCTAGTGCTTTACGGTTTCGATTTTAACACTACACAAAAGAAATATATTATTTGTTGCGGGATTACTCAAATCCGTAGATTGAAGGGGGGTAGGAGGCTCAGTAGAACTGAGAAGCTAGTAGTTACTAAGATGTTGACTGTATTGTCAAACACAGTAATTTCTACTTTTACAGTGGTGACTAGAATAGGGTGGGCTTATTTCCGCCGGCTTCCTCTCATTCCCGTTATGGGTAGGAATGATTCCACAGTCCTGCTCTGTGGAGTCCCTCTGGTTGTGACGTACTGTGACGCCTGTGCATGCCAGCCTGTAAAACAATCCGTTATTAATGCATGTTCGAATTACAACGGATAATGTTTAGGTTGATTCGTGTTCAATTACATAAGTTGGTACCTGACGTAGCTGTTATTATGCAAACGATCATTAAATATAGCTAATTAATGAAGGATTTCACGCCTCGTTTCAACAATAATCGTCTTCCTGGACGCACGCCTCTTCCAGTAATGCAAACTAAATGCCACGACAACCGATTACATCGACGAAATGCTTGATGGCGCGTGTCACGAGATGGCCTATCGTGTCGCGGACTCTTACCGGCACTCCATGCTGCAGCTTCCTTAGGATGGACTTGAAGTTAGGTCGATGCTGCATGGTCGTCCAGCAGTGCTCGATCAGCTGCTTTATCTGCGGTGTCGTCTTTAGGTCGCTGACCGCCTGTCTGCGTGCGTGGCACACCTGCCAGACGATGCAGTGTGGGCTGCTACCGCGGAACGGATACTCGCCATGCATCAGCTCGTACAGCACGGTCCCGAACGCGTACACGTCCGACGCCATCGTGTAGGGACCGCTGCTCGTCACGTGAGGTGGCTCCACCTTGAGGCTGCACATGATCTCTGGACTAAAGTAGGTGATATGGCCTTGGGGCAGCGAGCCGTAGTTCGCCCTGTGACAAAAAATAGATGGTCAGATTAGCATTCCTAGATTTTTTGAGGGCTCGATGTGTATATCAGGCACAGGTGTGTATAATATTGAAGATCCCTTTGTTTTCTGCTCCTTCTTTATGCAGCAAGAGTGGATGAGGTCATGGAGAGGTGGGAGAGAGAAGGGGAGAGGGGGGAAGAGCGAGGAAAGAAGTCCCTTAGAGTAACAGGTAGATTAGAGAAGTAGCTAGAGGAAGGGAAACAGTGAGAGATTGAGTAACGAGTGATAAACGAGATAGAAGCAGGAAAAACGTGTAAAAGAGACAGGCAGACAGATACACATTAGGAGAGACAGTAATAGACTGAGAGGGAGAGAGAGAGAGTGAGAGAGAGAAACCTACCTCTCTATGGTCTTTTCCATCATCGCACAGTCAACGACACACAGCTTGACTTTTGGCTCGAGGTAGATGTTCTTGGAGCTAAGGCGCTTGAGTACTATGCCTCTACTGTGCAGGTAGCTCATGCCTTGTGCTATCTGCCGGGCAATCGTGATCTTTGAGTGTAGAGGAAGACGATCAGCATCGAGATGGACGTGGCGGTACAGCGAGTCTCCTTTCCTCATACTGCAAGAATCAACAAGTGGTTAACTACATGCCATGAGCTGGAACGTCACTAGCCGTCGTTCACAGATTAGTCGGCCTTCTCGATCCATTTTCTTCATTTACACGCATCAGACAGAAAACCGGCGCAGATTCCAAAGAGTGCCATAACGATATTCGAAGGCGCTCAAACGATCGCTGCACGAGTTCAAATTATACATGATTTTAAAGTGTGACAAATACCTCGTGACGATCGTGAGGTTCGGCGGTTCGACGCATGCGCCCATAAAGAGGGCGACATTCTCGTGACGTATCATGCTCAATACTTTCACCTCCTCCCAGAATCTGTCCACGTCTAGCTGGCTGCTCGACTGGAAGGCGTGCACCATGACGTCACCATGCCAGCGCCCTCTGTTGGAACATTAAGTCTTGCGTTAACGCAATGACGGAACGGCAGACGAAAGATTGCTAACAAATGTTTTACGTTCGTTATTCACAGGGGATCTACCGCGCTTCCATCGCAGATGATTAATATATTGCCAAGTGCGATTATATACGTGTAAGCAAATAAACATACATCGACGCAAAGAGGCATTTAACACACCTGTACGTTGTTCCACGCTGACTCTGTCTAACGATGTCCCGGATCTCCAGGCTTCCGTACGGTATGTGCCACTCCGCTAGGCTGTCCTGCTCGTTATCCAGCGTCGCATGAGCGTTGGATTGTAGCGTGGAGCCGAGCAACGACGCGAATGTCTCATCGTATTCATCGTCATCGAAGATAGCTGCAGACAAAACGAGTACGACGTTTGATTCGCTGTGTAACGGTTGACTTACGCCCAAAGTAGAAATTGATTTAAATACGAATACGTGCGACAGAGATCGATGAATCTTAAGGTACCCTACAGATGCGCGAGCACGCCCGATGGTGTACATATGCTCTAAAAGCAGAACCCTACTTCCGACAGAAGATTGTTGTCGAAGGTTATATGCTTCGGAGATAGATTACTTTACACATTACAGATTTCTATCACAGAATCCGCGTCCCGAGAGATGATTCAAACCCCTAGCTACCCCCTGCCACAAACAAATCGCACCGACATGCGAAATTACTACCTCACGTACTACGCAATAACCCCGGTGCGTCCGCATTTGTCTCAAAGAGGGTCTAACCACAGCGGGGGTTCTCTCACACAAAATCAACTTTCAACGTCCAACTTACAGCTTTAAGGTTTACGTGTACATCTTACAGGTGACCGCTGCTGAAACACGCGAGGTAGGCGGCAGCGCGGTGTTTGGGTCGTGAACAGAAAGTGGGAGAGGGAGGTGGGAATGGGATCGTGCGCGCTGTGCTCAAGAAATTTAACGAGAACTTTCTATATTTGTAAATTAATTAAACAAATGGAAGACTGTCGACTGTACCATTGACAATTGCTAGCCGTTAATGAACCCTTGCGTCATACAGAGGCACAATACGTGGCGAAAAACACATGGGTTAAGTGTACCGCTTATGAAACAACGGGCAGCGGATCGAATCCCGTTGAAATCTGTTACCTCTCTATCTTTCTCGGTTTTTTCTTTTCTGAATTTGTGCACCGTAACATGAGTGCGGTGACGTTGTATGTTGCAGACATTTGACACCAAGTAAAACTCGTGTTTATTTACTATAATTTTATTATCGAAACGGCCCAGGTGCTTCCGATTTAAAAAGTCAGCTGGAGCAAGTAAGCGTGCGCCGCGAAGAGAGGCACAATAACGTGAATTTTACGTATCACTTCCCGCGGCTTTGCGTTGGTAAACATGTAATTGGATCGACTGCACGCCACGCCAGCTTTTATGCGTCTCGTCTTTATAGGTTTCAGAAAAAAGCGCCGCAACATTTTCGCAGAGCTATTGTCACCGGATTTTTCTCCTCCTTCACCTCGACATTCGCCGTTCTTGTCAGTGCGACCGCGCCTCAACTCAATCACGACAGCACCGAGAAACACGTACGCGCAAAAAGAAGCAATAACAAAAAACGATGCGCCTTGCCTGCAACACAGAGAGCCACGCAGAGGGGCAGGATCTGTCGACTACTTACCGTGACGATATTGCTTTCTGCCGGCAGGTGGCCAGGTGCTGCAGAGCACGTTCGGCGGAGTGGCGGCTGGTTTTCGTATCTTAGGCGACGGACAGCTGCACGTCTGCACGAGGTTTGCATGCTGGTTCAAAACCTGCAGCTGTGTCGTCATCCCCGCCGCCGCCGTCTTCTCCTCGGTCGCGCACGCCTCGAGAGAGATGACGTCGTGTTGCTCCGGGCAACGCGTCGCCTCGTCGTCCGCGACACTCTTCTTCTCTTTGCGTAGAGCTAGCCAACGGCGGAGCCTGCAGTAGGAGCCGTGCTCCTTCTTGCTGCATGTTGCTGGGCGGGCGACTTGTGCGGGAACGCTGACTGACCTACTATATATACTGGGCAGCTTGTTACGATTCACCTCGTGAGTCTGTAACATCTCGACGACTTCCTTGCCTGCAATCGACGATGCTATCTATTAATGCGAGGTTAGGGGATGATGTGCGCGCGCGAGCGCATGTGTGTGTGTGTGTGTGTGTGTGTGTGTGTGTGTGTGTGTGTGTGTGTGTGTGTGCGTGTGCGTGTGCGTGTGCGTGCATGTGCGTGCGCGCGCGTATGTTCGTGAGTCGGGCGTCCGTCTCACGGCCATATCATGTATTATTAAACAAATTCCAAGGTATGATTGGTTATATATAAATAAATATATATGTATATATATTATCAAGAGCTAATAATACCATCTTATTAGCTCTTGATATTATTATTATTATTATTATGATTATGATTATTAACGTATAAACTAGCCTGTTTCTCTGGAACTTATTTATTAATGATATCCCACTGTCTCTTGCTCAGCAATGAACGCGAACGTATGGATGATATGCGTCAGCAGCTATACCATATATATATACTACATACCTACATGCTAAGTATATATACATAGTATAACAGTATGCATAGTATATACATGCCAAGAAGCGCATATATAATCGTGTCAAATTTAAACTCACACGTATCTATTAGCCCACAACGTTTGGTGAGTTGTCTACATAGTCTTGTGGAATATAGGGGGAACTATCTGGCTGGTCACGTAATGGCGGCGATGTTTAACGTACCTGCGTTCTTTGTGAGCTTGGATAGCGAACAGATTCTGAAGATGCACTTGCCCGGGTAGGAGTCTCCGCATTTCACGTGACAACGAAAGCTGTAATCGTAAATGGAACGCGGTTATGACGCAACCGTTGCAACCGGCATTCTCACCGCAAAAGATATTATTTCGTGTGACGTGCGTGTCAATCACGGACTCCTTTTACATGTGCGCGTGTCTTCGTCATCATCGAGTAATTTTTTGAGATCTGCGAATTCCCCTTGATTCGCAGCAATACTCCGCCCAGGTGCGCGCACGCAGGCAGACTCGTTAAGACACGAATATAATTATTGCCCCGCTAACTAATATAATTCTAACGCTCCGGGAGGTGAAGCACCACATCTGTGGCTATATACCTCTAGATACAATAGCGTGAGCCAACACTTTCAGGTGTGGATTGCACGCCGAACACCTATCAAAACATCTAAATGACGCGGGTCGTTTTCGGGGCTTACTACTGCGTCACCTACTACTGCGTTGACTTGTCGTATCTAATGTACACCATGCTGGGCAATAACGTCGGAGCTAAAAAAAAATTTATCTGTGCGGGATATCAATTTGAGGAGCCACATAAAGTGTAATAACATCGGGCATGTCGTAATTAATTTAAATATTGTATACGGGTTCTTCCGCGTGTTTTAATGTCTTGCAGTTTTCTTGTATCGCACATGACAAACACGGGATCACGTCCAGGCCGGGCACCTAGCGCAGACTTGCGACTTTTGGTTGCTCGTCGCTGCAACCTGCAACCGCATGCGATCGGTCGCACGCTTCACCGTGTGTGCGCACACATGCGATTTCGAAGCGATTGGGAGCGACGAGTTGCTGAAAATCAAACCAGTTTGATTCTTGCAACTCGTTGCAAGCGACCAGAATCGCTACGAGTTGCAGTTGCACTTTCCCGCAGAAATAGTGATTTCACCGCAATTTCGACTGCGATTCTAGAATCGCAGCCGAGTTGCATGAAAAAGTCGCAAGTCTGCGCTAGGCTTTATCTAGGACGGGGACCTACCTGCAGTATTTGCAACAGAGTCCGACAAACAGCAATGGCTGCTGGCAATGTCCACAGCGTCCCGGTCGCGTGACGCTCTTCGTCATACTGCAAATATAACAAAGATGGCGCTGGTTAGCACGAAAAGTCGCACGACAGCAACGACCGACGGCTACACATACTCGCTACTAGAGAAGGCACACGTTGCTCGGCTACAAACAGAGAGAGGGTGGAGATAGGGAGAGGGAGGCAAAGAGGCGGTATAGGGAGCAATAGAGTGGGCGCGATTGATGAAAACTGATGGGGGAGGGAGGGAGAAGGAAGAACGCGCTTATTAACGTACCGCGCGCGTGCGCGCCAACAAAGACGGAGCGGCCTCGTGCAATGCTGCCCGCCATGTTTTTACCACTGTCACGCCATCGATGTGTGGAGAGGAGATCACTAAGCACTGACTACTCGACCGGTGTGTACGTGACCCGCCGCTGCCCCCTTCCCCGATTAGCTCGCATTGTACCTCTCTTCGTGAAACAAAGAGGGTCAAACCTGCGCGCAAACACCCCGACGCGAAACAAAGAGACCAGGTTGCGGTGCGGGCAGACGGTACAAGAATGGCACAACAATGTCTGCAAACCCACGCACACATGTATATACTCGTATGTATAAAATATACGTATATATACTTAATTATTTATGCGGCAAATATCTACTATTTGCACGTAGGCGCCACGACAAATCACCACTTCACGTGATACAGTGTGTCGCGTAGACATGCGAATAGCTCTGTCAGTCAGGCGAACCACAATAAACAGCGCAGAACTGCCGTCGATGCACGGCGCGCAGCCGTCGTCGCGCTTTGCTTCGAACTCCGCGATATGGCGCACATCTCACATCTCTCATTTCTCTCGCAGCAAGTTAACGGAGAGTGGACTTTCCAAGACTTTTCAAGACCGAGACCGTACGAACGCGCAGTACAGTTGGTTCGTAAATTGCTGTCTTCCGATATATACTATATAATACTATAGTATTCGTACACGCGAGTGGCTTCCGTTCTACCGTACATGACTGACCGCCGCACATTTACCACCAACATCATCATCATCATCATCCTCATCATGATTATCATCATTATCAGCAACAGCAGCAGCAGCAACAACAACTACAACAACAACAGCAGCAGCAGCAGTGTTATTGTCATAGTCGTAGATCACTAGCATGACCATACCAATCATTAACACTGACCATATCCCTATCTATAAATCTAACCTAACCCTAAACTCACTGCCCATACACGGGGTCACATTGTAGGATAGACCCCCCACACCACCACCACCACCACCAGTACGCGCCTGCTTGCATACGAGAGCATCTCTCGCAGCATTCCGTTTCCTACGGTTTCATTTATCACATGCGTTATCAAGTGACTGAAATTTCACTGCAAAACTCTTGGCGTCACCTAGCTATAGCTAGATACAGCAGTGAGGCACTGAACACCACAGATACGTCTCGACTCCTAACCTTTCTCCCGAATAAGAGGTTGGTGATATTATGCTAATCGTATGCTTTTAACCGACACGTAGAGAGCGAACGCGCGCGCGCGCGCGTGTGTGTGTGTCAGTCATTTGCCTGACATCAAGCCATGCTGACATAAACTATAGATCCCGAAAATCAACTCACTGCATCCAGCCGTGTTAGAGTGCACCAAGCTAATGAGCCGGTGCACTTGTCTTCAACAGCACGTGTGACTGTCGTCTGTATCTACTAGACCCACAAGACGCGAACGCGAAGTTTAAGCGATTACGAACCTGCATGTGACAGCAATCGGGTAACCCTGGTGATCACTGGCTTTGCCATCCACAGCGGCGTAGGCTGTTGTCGGGAGAAAGCGCGTTACCGTCATGCTATTTGTTAGTCGTCGTTTAACCTTACGGTAGCTGATGGTCGTGTGGCAGAAGTAATGAGCTGGGGCAGAAGATAAGGCAGGCACGCGCCTGCAATACGCTTCACTAGTCACGCGGAACTGCCCCCACCCCTCTCCACGCGCGTGCGGCTGAGTGCGGTCTCGCGCGCGCAGCGGGGGGGGGGGGGTCGGGCGAGGGAGCAGGGCGCTGGTGCTCGGGCAGAGGGGTGAGGTTTCCGTACTTCGCCGGTGGACTCAACAGCTGCCCATACACCGCTGCGTACACGCCTTGCAAAATGTATGCGAAGTTTCATATATAAGACCTTAAGCGACATGAACACGACATTTACCACCCTGAATGAACGTTACGATCCTGGCAGTCTCCCGTCACTTCCCCTCTGACCCATTAGCCATCACCCGCGAAGATTAAGACCGGCCCGCACGTCGCCGCCGTGGGTTAGACCACAACCTCTATTGACGCACGGGGCTAAATTTTTTCGGGCACGTGCCGACATTATGAGCCAAAGCACGAGACACGGACGAGTTGTTGGCTCTCGCGCCGCTCCTCCTCACTGCCTTCTCTGGCACTTGTCGGCCATAACATCGCGATAGAATGGGCGGCGAGGGGCAGCTAGTGTCGATGTCCTGCCTAGATGGCCGTTGCCAATTGTCGAAACTGCGTGTGCAACCCGCCGCGGTACCTTGCCTTTGCACCTGCCCGCATGCGGCGTATTTATGGAACGGCTTGTAACTTCGACGCGGCAGATTTACGATGATCGATAATGCGACTGTCGATTTGGCACGGCAACCGAACGTTTTTGTCTATTAACGGAGCTTAACACTCTAGTCATGTCCATCGAGCCTCCTCCTCGCCGCTGCACGGCGTACGCGCGGCGGTAGCGGCGGCCATCCTGCAAACATATTTGATGCAATTAAGTAAGCGGAGACGTATAAGCCACAGACGGCTCGACTGAAAAATGCTACGACGGACGGTTACTGACAGTCATATGACAGTCATTGTCAAATGACTTCGCTAGCCGGCGTTGTGCGGGGTCACCTTACGTAGATGAATATTTATCATAGAGCGCGCCCAAGAGCAGTTGTAGACGCCATGTGGATGATCGCAGGGGAGCCATTTAGCCTGAATCATGAATATAATATAAATATAACATATGTGTGTGTGTGTGTGTTGTGTGTGCTGTGTGTGTGTGTGTGTGTGTGTGTGTGTGTGTGTGTTGTGTGTGTGGGTGTGTGTACTGTGTGTTCGTGTGTGTGTGTGTGTGTGTGCTGTGTGTGTGTGCGCGCGCCGTGGGTGTGTGTGTGTGTGTCGTGTGTGTGCGGCGTGTGCGTGTGCGTGTGTGTGTGTGTTGTGTGTGTTGTGTGTGTGTGTTGTCGTGTGTGTGTGTGTGTAGTGTGTGCGCCAGCGTGTGCGTGTTGTGCCGTGTGCGCGTATATGCAATGTAGCGGTGTACGCGTATACGCGTGTACGCTGACGCATTGTAACGCATGTACCGCATCCTTCACCTACGCAATGTACGCATGTACGCATGTACGCATGTACGCATGTACGCATGTACGCATGACATGTATGCATGTATGTATGTATGTATGTATGTAGATGTATGTATGTATGTATGATGCTATTAGTATGTATGTACTGTATTATGCTTATGTATGTAATGTATGTAATGTATGTATGAATTTGTATGTATTATATGTATGTATGTTTATGTTATGTATGTATGATGTATGTATTGTATGTATGTATGTATGTATGTTGTATGTATGTATGTAT